CTCGAGATAAAATTGTAGTATTTTAGTGTACAATACAGTGACCCTCGCTAATCAAACGCCTCGTTAACTAACTGCCTTCCATAAGGATCTTCAATTCGTTAACGAACAAAAATTCGTTAACAATTTCTACTGAACCGACTCAACATGTTTTCGCTTGCACTGACGGGCAACCAGCTTTAGTATCAGTCCGCCAATACATTAATCGGTTCTTGGGCTTAAATCCTTACTATTTTAGTAAATATCAAGAAGTTTATACTATTCAATAATTTTAAAGTTTAATATTAAATTTTTAGTCATTTTAACAATTATTGAACATAATTGAAGGTAAAGTGACTAGTTTAATGCACGGCATCCAGCCTCTTAACACAGCAACAGGCTTTGTCTCTCTCTCTTTCACTGGAGGTAACATCTTGCTTGAGACTCTTCAACTAAACGCTTTTTTCTGTGTTTCCAAGAAAATTATTGGTCATTTGAAATATATTTTACATATTGACAATATATAATGCAGTGCAGTGTTGATTTAAAGAAAATAATCTTGAAATACACCAAGAGAACTAAAATTTTATGGTGAATGGTGCCATGGGGTGACTTCTCTTCACCCCAATGCCTTCTCTTCTTCCTCCTCCACCCCATTCTAATTCCATCATCCAGGAGCCTTCTACATACACACCTCAAAGTAAGTGAACTTTTCTACCATTTTTGTTGAATTTAGGCAATTTTCGGTGAGCTGGAACCAATTACCCAAAAACCCATTGAAACAATGGTTTAGTTAACGAACGACCTTCTGGAACGGATTGAGTTCGTTAACCGAAGTCACTGTACTGTAGTACATTTTATAATACAGTATAAAGTTTTTCAACTGTAATTTTGGGTAGATTTACGTAAATTTCTTCATTTATTTTCATCATTTACATGCACACACCATACTAAAAGAAACGTAAAAGAAATAAATGACATAAGTGCAGTGGAGTGTACATGTACTAATTTGATTACGGTACTAAATTGTTATGTCTAGTGCGAATTATAGGTTGTTTATATTTAAATAAATCAACATCTTACAAGAATCCCAGCAATGTAAATTATATTCACCCAGGTCATTTCACTGGCTTATTATAAGAGAGAAGCTTAGCACGCGTTAGACCTGGGCCTGTGCCAACTGTCAAACTGTCTCCCCCACGCCCCCTCCCTCCCTCCCTCTCCCCCATCTGCCCAGCGTTGCTGGAATCCTTGTAAGACAGTGAACAATTTTAATATAGACTTCATGTATTTTGCACAAGAGAGAAAAATTGATCACCTGTATCACATTACAGTAGTGATTTAAGAGTAAAAGTGTATATGTACGTATATAGTATTCCACAAACAGGTAAGTATAAAGACAAAGTTTATGTGATGATCGGACTACGTCCATTTCGGTTAGTGTCACGTTTCCAAGAATGTATCCAAGACGTTAACCGGCGCATGACTGTAGATGGTACATGTGGGAGACTCAGGTGGTCCTTCTACTCAGGGGTAAAGGAAACACACTGATGTCAAGTTTGTAAGTTCTATTTCTGGGACAAACACAAAAAGGAGTTAAGACAGGGGGAACAGCATCCTGTCTTGGAATCTCTCTGGGTATCTCTATCTGCGCATGCGCCAAGTCTGAACTATCACTTGTGACAAAAGGGAGTATGATTATAATACATATAATACAGAGACCTGAATCAATAATGGTAAATAGTACAGAGTTACATATTACAGCCATATTCGTCTCGTATATCTACAGTACAGGTTCCGGGAACCTTCATATACCGCACAGGGTACGAACAGTGCTCTCACTTAAACCAAGCACGCGGCCAAGCTCTGACACATGCTCTCCTCTCTGAAGGGGGGTGATCACATTTAATTTCATGTCCATTGTGATTGTTTTTCGTGGCTTTTAAGGTTTAGGCGCCTCAGAGGAGGCAGATGGACGTTTTCCAGACATGCTCAATGGGGGAGAAGGCAGTGTTTAACACCAAAAATGTACATGATAAACTCGCAATGCAAATGAGAGCACAGAGAAAAAGTAGTGCTGGTGTGAACTGAGAAAGCGATATGCGGGAAGCTTGCTGGACGTTGTTACAGCTGTTGTACAGAATACTTCATTACATCATCCTTCATCATTAGCAGTAATAATCTTTATTATAATAATTATTACTAACAATATTAAAATTGTTGGATGACTGCAACTTCCAAGCATCTCACCAGGCATCACATGCGACTCCACTGCCAGGCGAATACGCGCGGCAAATTTAAACTGTCTTGAGCTTGTTAAAGTAAATTAACTTTTGGTATTAATTGAACAATCACGTTATTCCAAAAATGCTTAAATCAAACGCGCGTAAAATGCGAGTTACAGGTTGTACCTCTCTAGTCCGGCAACACCTGACCGGTGCCGGACCATGGAAATTCACCCTTTTCCTGGATAGATAGTGACTTGTGCTTATGCTTGGAAGCACTAGCACCACTTTCTCTGCATCATGGTCTCTATGAAGACATATTGAAGAGTTAAATGTCGTATAGTAGCTTCTCAAATTTCGCAAGTTTTTAATTCAACGTATTTTATTGAAACACACACAAAAAAAATAAATAAAAATTTTGACGGCGGAAACTTGAATTTCGACAAGTTTGAACGGCCCTCCAATGTGCAGACGACGTGCATAATCGTGTAAACAGCGTCATTTCTCTTATGTACAAAAGATTCATTATTGTTTATTACTGAATGTCTATTGAGTTAATGTTTATGTGTGCAAAATGAGCAATACAATTCATTAATAATACGTAGAGTATTAAAACACACGAGGAAATGACACAGCATTGTTTTCGTTGATTACAAAACCAGTGACTGACTGGTTCTACATATAAAACTGAAGAAAATAAGACCTTGGTTGTAGCTGTAGTAAAATTAATATGGTTGTTTTAAGTAATGTTATTTAATGTTAATAAATGGAACAATAGAAGTAGCTAACGATAATGGTAAAGAAAAAAAGAGAGATCGCGTATGTAAGTGCGCACATGTGAAAACATATCGTCATTACTCTATATGAGAATATGAAAGCAACACTTATTTACTGTTCATATATATTTTAATTAATGTTTCTGAATTTGTTTTTATTGAATTAATGTTTGTGTGTGCAAAATTAACAATACAATTCATTAATAATACGTGGAACAATAACACGAGGAGACGAGACGGCTGCCGGCATTGTTTTTGTTAAAGCTTACAAAACCAGTGACTGATTGGTTCTACATAAAAAAGTGAAGAAAATAAGACGCTGATTGTAGCTGTAGTAAAATTAATGTAAAAAAATTAATATGGTTGTTTGAATTACCTGTAATGTTATTTAATGTTAATAAATGGAACAATATAAGTAGCTAACCATTAATGGTAAAAAAAAAAAAGTGAGACTGCTCGTATGTAAGTGCGCACATGTGAAAACATATTGTCATTACTCTACATAAGAATATGAAAGCAACACTTATTTACTGCTCATATATATTGAAGGGTTAAATGTTGTACTCTGTATAGACAAGCAGAGAGAGAGAGCAGCCGAACTGCCGGATGTAAACAAACCTTAATTTCCCGCGGCTTTTTTTTTTTTTTTTTTATGGGGATTAGCCTACCCGGGCATAGGTCACTGACCCACATTGGGGCCTGAGGGGCAAAAATTTAATACTCCTGTAATAATAATAATAATAATTCAGATAAAAAAAATAAAAGCTGCCTATCTACCTATTGGACAAACTAAAATCGTTCCGGACCACGGGAGTTTCCGGACCACAGAATGCCGGACTAGAGAGGTACAACCTCCAATGGAGTAAATATCAATACATTTGAGCTTTTTAATATTTTTGAATGTTTTATATTGAAATTATTAGTTATTTTAACTTTTATTTAACATATTGATAATATTATATGCAGTACTCCCTGTACAGGTTCAGTCTGGCTTTGTTTACTCTCGAGAGTGCAGCCATTTTGTTTTGAATATTTTTGCATTTTTTATTGAAATTTTTGGTCATTCTGAACTTTAGTTAACATTTTGATAATATATAGCGTAGTGCAGTGTTGATTTAAAGAAAATAATCTTGAATTACACCTCGTGAACTTAACATTTTATTGGTGAAATGACGGCATGAAGCATGGGTCCCTGAAAGGTGATTCTCCTCCATACCACTTCCTTCTGTTCTCCTTTCTCCTCCACCCCACTTCTAATTCCCTTCATCATCGTCAACCAATAACCTTCTACATACACACCTCAATGTAAGTGTACTTTACTGCATTTTTTTAATACTTTGTATGTACCTTTCGGTGAGCTGGAACCAATTACCCAATATCCCATTGAAACAATGGATTCGGTTAACAAAATTTTCGGTTAACGAACGACCTTCTGGAAGGAATTGTGTTCGTTAACCGAGGGACCACTGTACATAATTGTGGGTGTCGCTTTAAATCAATAATTTTAAATTCAATCGCTTTAAATCGATGTTCTACTGTATATGAGGCCACTAACCCCACACCCTACCTCCACCTGAGATTGAGTCAGGTTAAGTCAATCTTGGAATTTGTTCCCAAAGTCAGAAATTTTTGGAAAATTCTGGCTTGAACGATTTTCCGAGTAAATTTCAATTCTGCCTATCGGAGAGTTCCTGGTTTGAGGGATTTTGGCTAATGGAGATATTACTGTATATCACATTCGGTGCCTCTACATGGGAACACTACCATGGCACCACATGGACTTAAAACCTTACCTTTACTTTGTTGTATTTCACACAAAGTCTGCTCCCCTTGTCTTACCGAGTCCTTCCCATTTACTCCTTGTTAAATGTATTTCTTACAACAAAGTTTCCAAAAAAGAAAAAGATTTTTTTAACATGACCACTTTGTTGCCAGAAGTATGTTGCTGGATTTTATTTTTGTTATACATATTTTATTAATGCAATTAATATATTCATTAATTTTTTTTTCTACTTTATTGCAGTGTTTTCAGGATGGGCATGTAGCAAGGGATTGCACCTCATTTATCACTGGCGCTGAGCATGCTGGGCCCTCGCGACAAGATCAAGGAAAGCAAACTGCAGCTGGTCGAGGTTGTTTTAAGGTACTGTTCCAGTATTTTATCCAATCAATCAATCCTCATTTAGATTGTTAATTACTCTTACAAGGGTTCTCGAGCCCTCTTGCAATGCCTTAACCACTCAATCTACAAGTACAGTACAATTTATTGCTTTCTATTTTTCCCCTAGGTATTTTTCTTGCAGTTTCCTGGCCATAACTATTTTTTGTGGCTCATTTGCTTGGCTTTAACTAAAACTGTACAGACAATCCAACAGGGTTGGAAAAAATCCAATTTTTAAAAATCAAAATACTGTAATCGATTTTTTTAAAACTAAAATCGGGAGTTTTTTTTTATTATACAGTGGTCCCTCGGTTAAAGAATGCCTCAGTTAACAAATTACCTTCCATAAGAATCTTCATTTCGGTTAACGAATAAAACTTCGGTTAACGAAATTCTTACGAAAGCGTTTCGATATGCTTTTGCTTGCTCACCAGCTGGAAGATTAGTCCGCCAATACAGAAATCGGTTCTAGAGCTTACATTCGTTAAAATTGGAGTAAATATCAAGAAGGTTGTACTATTCAATAATTTTCCTAGTTTTATATTAAATTTTTTGGTCATTTTAACACTTATTTAACATAATTGCAGTCCAGAGAACTAGTTTTTGGTGCACCCATCAGCCACTTTACTCACCCACCAAGGCCTCAGTTTGTATCTCTGTTCAGTGGAGGAAACATCTTGCTTGTGGGTCTCTTGAACACAGTATTTTTACGCTTTTGCAGTACCGTACAATTATTGGTCATTCTGAAATTTATTTAACATATTGACCATATATAGTGCAGTGCAGTGTTGATTGAAAGAAAATAATCTTGAATTACACCTAGTGAACTTAAAATTATATGGGTGAAATGACGGTATGAAGCATGGGGTGATTTCTCTTCCACCCTCACTTTTAATTCCCATCATCATCATCATCAACCAGGAGCCTTCTACATACACACCTCAAAGTAAGTGTACTTTACTGCATTTTTTTTATACTTTGTATGTACCTTTCGGTGAGCTGGAATCAATTATCCAATATCCCATTGAAACAATGGATTCGGTTAACGAACGACCTTCTGGAAGGAATTGTGTTCGTTAACAGAGGGACCACTGTACATAATTGTGGGTGTCGCTTTAAATCAATAATTTTAAATTCAATCGCTTTAAATCGATGTTCTACTGTATATGAGGCCACTAATCCCACACCCTACCTCCACCTGAGATTGAGTCAGGTTAAGTCAATCTTGGAATTTGTTCCCAAAGTCAGAAACTTTTGGAAAATTCTGGCTTGAACGATTTTCCGAGTAAATTTTAATTCTGCCTATCGGAGAGTTCCTGGTTTGAGGGATATTGGCTAATGAGATATTACTGTATATCACATTTGGTGCCTCTACATGGGAACACTACCATGGCACCACATGGACTTAAAACCTTACCTTTACTTTGTTGTATTTCACACAAAGTCTGCTCCCCTTGTCTTACCGAGTCCTTCCCATTTACTCCTTGTTAAATGTATTTCTTACAACAAAGTTTCCAAAAAAGAAAAAGATTTTTTTAACATGACCACTTTGTTGCCAGAAGTATGTTGCTGGATTTTATTTTTGTTATACATATTTTATTAATGCAATTAATTATTCATTAATTTTTTTTTCTACTGTATTGCAGTGTCTTCAGGATGGGCATATAGCAAGGGATTGCACCTCATTTATCACTGGCGCTGAGCATGCTGGGCCCTCGCGACAAGATCAAGGAAAGCAAACTGCAGCTGGTCGAGGTTGTTTTAAGGTACTGTTCCAGTATTTTATCCAATCAATCAATCAATCCTCATTTAGATTGTTAATTACTCTTACAAGGGTTCTCGAGCCCTCATGCAATGCCATAACCACTCAAAAAAGATGTTTTTTGACTCATCACTTTCTAATTGGACACTACATTACCTCACTGGGAGTCCAGTCAAATATATATCTTAAATCTACAAGTACAGTACAATTTATTGATTTCTATTTTTCCCTAGGTATTTCTCTTGCAGTTTCCTGGCCATAACTATTTTTTGTGGCTCATTTGCTTGGCTTTAACTAAAACTGTACAGACAATCCAACAGGGTTGGAAAAAATTTAATTATTAAAAATCAAATTACTGTACTGTAATAGATTTTTTATACTAAAATCGAGTTTTTTTTATTATACAGTGGTTCCTCGGTTAACGAATGCCTCGGTTAACGAATTACCTTCCATAAGAATCTTCATTTCAGTTAACGAAATTCTTACGAAAATGTTTCGACATGCTTTTGCTTGCTCACCAGCCGGAAGATTAGTCCGTCAATACAGAAATCGGTTCTAGGGCTTACATTCGTTAAAATTGGAGAAAATGTCATGAAGGTTGTACTATTCAATAATTTTCCAAGTTTTATATTAAAATTTTTGGTCATTTTAACACTTATTTAACATAATTGCAGTACAGGGAACTAGTTTTTGGTGCATCCATCAGCCACTTCACTCACCCACCAAGGCCTCAGTTTGTATCTCTGTTCAGTGGAGGAAACATCTTGCTTGTGGGTCTCTTGAACACAGTATTTTTACATTTTTTACAGTACAATTATTGGTCATTCTGAAATTTATTTAACATATTGACCAGGGCTGTGGAGTCGAAGACAAAACCTTCGACTCCGACTCCTTGGCCTATTTGTAACAACTATTTCTACCATCCTAATTGTAATTTGTATGTTGTAACCTGCATAGGTAAAAAGTAAAACACCGTGGCTATACTGCTACAGCTTTATTAATGATCTGGACGATATTTAAGAACTACAAAAAGATGATAGGCTTGACTTTCAAAGTTTCAATCAAAAGAAAAATACATTTATTAAGAATTCAAGATATTAACTAGAAAACACCATTTACATGTATATCTAAAAGTTCGATCTCAGCATATGAATTTCGTTTAAGCTCATAATCTGATGTGGATCTAAATGATGATCCTACAATTCCTTTTAAAGTAAAGTAATATATTTATGTACATTAAAGAAATGAATACCTTATTAAGGAAAATGGATAAACCTTACATGATTAAGTTATTAAATTAAATTTGCCTTAATCTCACCAAAAACAGGTTGTAGCTAATTGTTTTGTAGCTGAGAGCCTCTGTGCACTTTTCAACGAAACAAAATTTGATATAATTCAAAATTTCAAATGGTAAAGAAGAGACTATCGTCCAAAATTATAGTGCTATACTGTGCCTGCTACAATAAATTCATAATAATGCTTATAATATGGAAATAAATTCTTTTAATAATTTAAGAAAATTAGTGGGATCAGTGGAATCACTGCAATGAATATGCCTGAGTTCATATATTTGTTCTTAGGAACAGAATAGCTTGAGTCGGAGTCTGGACAATTTTACCGACTCCGACTCCACAAGCCGAAATTTCCTCCGACTCCTCGACTCCGACTCCACAGCCCTGATATTGACCATATATAGTGCAGTGCAGTGTTGATTTAAAGAAAATAATCTTGAATTACACCTAGTGAACTTAAAATTTTATGGGTGAAATGACGGCATGAAGCATGGGGTGATTTCTCTTCCACCCCCACTTCCTTCTCTTCTCCCTTCTCCTTCACCCCCATTTCTAATTCCCATCATTATCATCATCAACCAGGAGCTTTCTACATACACACCTCAGAGTAAGTGTACTTTACTGCATTTTTTTTTACATTATGTAATTTTCGGTGAGCTGGAACCACTTACCCAAAATCCCATTGAAACGATAGTTTCGGTTAAAAATTTTTTCGGTTAACGAACGATCTTCTGGAACGAATTGTGTTCGTTAACCGAGGGACCACTGTAATTGATTTTTTTCCAATTATTAACACTTCATTCTTTTATACAATAATGCAGGAATTTTTTCATGTAGTATGTTTAAAGCCATTATCTTCTATTACCTTAGATTTTATTTAATTTTATTTTTTGTGGATAAAATTTGGCTCATATCTTTATGAAAGGTTATTTTATACTTCATGGAAAACTTATCATTTGTTGAATTTGTATATAATAATGAAATTTAATCAAACTATACTGTTACCGAAAAGAAGTTTCCTAAAATAAAAGTCATTAAAAAAAACAACAGTTTTTGTGATATACTGTACAGTCGTCCAGAATGCGACGTCTAGCTTTATACCTAGGTATGTAAAAGCCTAGCATTAACTCGCCAGGCCAACATACAGGCAATTAAGACATCTAATAATTTTTTAAATACGTAATATTAGGAGGACAAATCGCTACCTGGCATTTAATTGCCATTCTCAAAACCCCCTCCCGCACCCTCCATCACACGCATTGCTACCGTTGTCTGTTACCCTAGAGCAAGTTGTAAACAAATGTCACCTCTCTAGGGGTAGAGATGGGTGGGATGTCGACGTCGCATTCTGGACTATATCACAAAACTGGTTTTTAAAAGGAAAAAAAAACGACTTTTTGTACAATCCAGAATGCGACGTCTAGCTTTGATTACCCGAGTAGGAGGTGGAGAGGGAGGTGACATTGCTTATAAGGCTCTGCTAGCTTAGGTCCAGATTATAATTATAAACTGTTTGGAATATTTTCCAATATTTACCGGAAGGTAAAATGTTAGTTAACATATCTCAATGAGGATACTCACTTTATTCTGATGAGGAAGAAGAAGGTCCTAGTTGTGGAGATTGACTAGGTGGGGGAGGGGACCCCAGTACCACCACAGGCAAAGCATCTTCCAGAGATAGATGAAGATAGCTGTTTTGAAAGGTTTTTTAAGATTTCCAAAAGCCCACTTCTTTGATATGACTGAGGCTCATGACGCAGAAAGGCCACAGACCCTGCGTATTTCCTGGTGTCATGTGCCAAAAATTTCTTGCCAGGGTCTGCTTGACTCACTATCTTAGATAAATTTTTTGTCATTTGACTAGGAGACAATTTCTTACCATCCTGTGATAAGAATACATAGGGGCCTCGATTAGGTAATCTGGTTAACTATTCTTGAAGAATCTTAACTGGGCACAATATATGAGGAACCCTTGTCTCATCCATTAGCAGTTTTATCCTGATAGGTTGAGCCTGAAAATCCTCCCTTTTATTTTTTCTTAGAATCTCCGTAGGAAAAAGGGTGACATCCTCCTCAGAAAATACCAATAATGATGGATTATTGGAAATTGAAATCAGCTCACTGATTCTCATACCTGTTGCTATTGCTAGAAGGAAGGCTGCCTTCTGGAGCAATATGTCCCGGTTCAGATTTATATTGTAATTAGGCCCCATAAGAAATTTAGTAACTTTACCTAGAGACCAAGGCGGGATTCTCTTAGGCCGAGGGGGTCTCTGAATGAAAAAGGACGATCTGAGCAATTGATAAATTCTTGGGTTCAAAGTAATATTAAAACCCTATGCCAGAGGGTCAACCAGTGCTGATTTACAAGATGCAATTGTCAATCCTTGAAGGCCTTTAACTCTGCACAGAAAATCTAAAAATTCTAACCACTGTTTCTAACAATGTGTTTGGAGTCAATAACCTGATAAATTGTTGAAAAAGTTTCCAAGCTTTCTCATATTGCATAGAAGTTTGGGATCTATGACCTGCTATTACTTGGTTACTATATTGGAATTACCTAACAATCTATTTCAACATCTTTCGAGAAACTCCAAGCGTGAAGTGCCAAGGATATCTCGAACTGAGGGTGCAGTACCTGTTCTAGACATCCTTGTTGCAATTGTAGTGGATGTGGGCACCAGTCCAACAGATCGAGATACCATGGTTGTAGGATCCAATATGGTGCAATTAAGAGGACCTTGCCTTGGAAGGATCTGAGTTTGTGAACCACTTTGGGCAACATTTTCACAGGTAGGAACAAATAGATTGAATTCCAATGGCTCCAATCTAGGAGTAGAGCATTTCCTTAAAGATTTAGTCATTCCAGAGATGCATAAATTGGCATCTTTTGATTGTTTTGTGAGACAAAGAGATCTATTTGTGGAGTTCCAAACCTTCTCACTAGACTCTTGAACTCTGATACCTTTAGGGACCATTCTGTATTCTTCGATATTGGCCTGAGACGGGACAATGCATCTGCCCAATTGTTTTGTACTCCTGGTATGTGAGTTGCTTTGAGGTAAATGTTTGTGTTACACAAACTTTGAACATTTTTTCTGACAGTTTTAGGAGGGGCCAAGATCTGGCTGAGCCTTGATGATTGAGACAAAACACTGCCGCTTTGTTGTCCATGGCAAACAGAATCGTCATGTTTTTTAAATTTGGGTTTGCCAACAAAAAGAATAGAACTACTGCTAATTCTTTTACGTTTATGTGGTTGTCCCAAAGGGAGTTGCTCCACTTCCATTGACGGAACTCTCCTTTTGAGGAATGGTATCCTCGTCCTATCTCGAACGCTTCCGTACAAACGACCAAGTCTGTTTGAGGGGGAACCCTGGGAGATGAACTGATTAGATTGTCTACGTTTGTCCACCATGACAGATGATTCTTATCTGAATATGGAGAAAAGAAGCAATATTTTTGTTTCTGTGAATCTACTTCGACCCCAGATGAGTTAGTTGCTTCTTCCTTAATGAGCCGAAACGAACTACTCTAGGCAAAATTCAACAGACCCAGTAGTTTTTCCCAGTCGTCCCAAGAAACCTCTTGCTTTACACAAAAGGCTTCTACCAAGCAATCAACACTGGATTAATTTTTTCGTCGCGTGACGGCTGGAGCTTCTTCACAACAGCAGGCAGCCGAGGAAGAGCAAACATCAACTGAGGAGGAG